TGAGTGTTAGTGTGAGTGAGCGTAAGTGTGTCTGAGTGTTAGTGTGAGTGAGCGTAAGTGTGAATAAGTGTGTGTGAGTGTTAGTGTAAGTGTGAGGGATTGTCAGTGGGTGTGATGTGTTAGTGTGAGTGAGTGTTTGTGTCAGTGAGTGTTAGTGTGAGTGAGAGTAAGTGTGAGTGTGAGTGAGTGTTAGTGAGTAAGTGTGAATGAGTGTGAGTGAGTGTTAGCATGAGTGAGTGTAAGTGAGCGAGTGTTAGTGTGAGTGTGAAGGAATGTGAGCGAGTGTTAGTATGAGTTTGTGTGAGTGAGTGTTAGCATGAGTGAGTGTAAGTGAGCGAGTGTTAGTGTGAGTGAGCGAGTGTTAGTGTGAGTGTGAAGGAATGTGAGCGAGTGTTAGTATGAGTTTGTGTGAGTGTTAGCATGAGTGAGTGTAAGTGAGCGAGTGTTAGTGTGAGTGTGAAGGAATGTGAGCGAGTGTTAGTTTGAGTTTATGTGAGTGAGTGTTAGCATGAGTGAGTGTAAGTGAGCGAGTGTTAGTGTGAGTGTTAGTGTGAGTGTTAGTGTGATTGTTAGTGTGTGTTAGTGTGAGTGAGCGAGTGTTAGTGTGAGTGTTAGTGTGTGTTCTCCATTCTGTCACCGATGGAGTTTTGGTTCCTCTGGCTTGCTTAGTTGGGGACACTTAATATCCAGCGATATCGTGGACTTGATTGCACAGATACTATTTAAACTGAACTGAGCTGGATGATGACATCACTGAATTCAATGATGAACTGCATTTAACTAAAAATTGAGTGTTTACTATTGTCCTTTTGCATTATTGACACACTATTTTCCTATTTGATACTGTAAAGCTGCTTTGACACAATCTGTATTGTTAAAAGCGCTATATAAATAAAGGTGACTTGACTTGACTTGTGTTAGCTTGAGTGATTGTGAGTGAGTGTTAGTGTGAGTGAGTGTTAGTGTGAGCGAATGTGAGTATTACCGTGAGCGAGCGTGAGTGTGAGTGACTGTGAGTGTGAGCATGAACGAGTGTGAGTGAGTGTTAGCATGAGTGAATGTGAGTGTTAGGGTGAGCGAGTGAGTGAGGGAGTGTTAGCGGCTATATAGTGGATCAGAGGTGTAAAGGCCTGCGATCACACTCTCCTCAGATGGACTGAGCTCAGAGCGCAGTAGTGACACGTGCATTAAAGAGATGGATGACACTCCGTGTAGTGCTGCTGTGAGGACACTGGCCCGTCCAGGAGATGTATTTCCTCTTCCTGTGCTGAAACTCAGACTGTGACGTTTATTAGCTCCTCTCTTTCTCTTAACCTGACCACACGTTCCAGCTCTTCTGATCTGTGGATTCTCGAGCTTCACATTAAACATTGGGAATCTGGTTGTGTTTTGATGACATTCATCTGTAGAGCTTCAGAGTAAAGGTTTAATATGGACCTTTGTCTGAAAATGATGTGCACGTGAATGTGGTCCAATTGCTTAGATCTCATTCTGGTCTCAGCTGTGTTTCAGCTGTGCATGAGTTTATCCTCATATTAAAGAAATCAACCAGAAGACCAATCAGTACCAAAAGACTTTTTCAGCATGAAGCCATAGAAGAAGGTTCTTAAGATCCACATAGTTGTTTTCTGGTTGTTTAGAAAAGCATGTACAATATGTTTTGATGCTTCAAAGAACCATTGAACCAAAACATTAATCTGAAGAACCTATGATGAGAAATCGAAAACTTTTTTTAAAGATTCATGTAGCCCTGGCTGGAAACTTACAGCAGTTTCACAGCTGAATGTGACCAGAGTTTAAATCCATTTGAATGATCTCATCAAGGTGTTTTGATTGATGACAGGCAGGTGCTTCTGGAACTAAAGTCTACTGCATGCTTAAAGCATTGTGTTCTAGATCATCTGTGATCTAGAACCTCCGGAATTTTGTACTAGTTTTCCGTCAGGTCATCTGATGTTACTTAAAGAGCCGCAGCAGCAACTAAATGAGGTCAGAGAGTTTTTATACTGCAGATGCAGGTCAAGATCACAGCGGCCGCTTTTTACTGGAGCTGCATACGTCACATACTGTACAGTAATGTCTAGAAATATAGTCTCTTCTCTTTTTGAGATTTGATCATTTACATAGTAAATAATCACAATTTGTCCTTGTGCATACAGCAGCAGTTACTCTAAAATAATGCAAATAGATACTGTATAAAGGTAAAGGTTTTAAAAGGTATTTTTTTACAGCAATGCCATAAAACCACAGAACCGTTTTTGGTTCCCCAAAGAACCTTTCAGTAATCAGTTCTTAAAAGAAATTGGCTTTTACCTGGTTTAGGCCAACCTGGTTTCTAAATCTGCACATGTAATTATAGTGTAGTTTGGGGAAAACCTTCCATCGGGCCTTTTAGCTTGTGCCACTCTTATATTTTGGGTCTGTTTCAGTGTTTTATTCTGCGGTGAGTCACGACGCAGCTGTGTAACACGCTTAAGCAGCAGTGGGATGAGATGAGCAACGCTGTGATTTTATTCAGGCTCGGCTCATGATAGCACCACTGCCAAACTCCCACTGCTGTTTGACTCTGTCAAAATATACAGTGGTGGCCAAAATTATTAGAACACTAGTTCTTTCACCAGCTAAAAAATGGTTAAGTCAGTTATTTCTATCTTTTACTGTAGTGTGTCAGTAGGGGTAAACTGATATTTCCTACTGACACACTACAGCAAAAGATAGAAATAACTGACTTAAAACCATTTTATAGCTGGTGAAAGTACTAGTGTTCTAATCATTTTGGCCACCACTGTAGATGGTGAAACGCTCAGGCCTGGACCTTCTTGTTCGTCTTTGTGCCTCTCACCGACTCTCCTGCCTTCTCTTTGCAGACCATCGTCCGCGGGAGCCGGCCGCCCAAGGACGCCTCCATCAACGGCCTGCTGGAGGAGTTTGACAGCATCTCTGTCACCCGCTCAAACTCTCTGAGGAAAGAGAGTCCGCCTGGAGCCCATCAGGCTGGCGGGAGCAAGCCAGCGTCTGCGTCCACGTCCAACACCGGTGGACCGGAGGAGAACGGCTTCGGACACTATTACGGCCGCTTCTCTTGCGACCTGGACAGCAGTAAAGACTTCTCGCTAGAGGCGTACCGCGACCGAGGCACCCATGCCGGCGAGTGGGCGGTCGGACGGCACTACCGCTTCTCTCTCAGACAGAACGGCCATCCCATCCGCAGCCACTTCTATCCCGACGCCATGCCGCAGAAGTCTTCGGACTACGCCAAGATGCCACCCGACTACCACGCCTACCTGGAGAACAAGATGCGGCTGTCCACCGACGAGATGGCCATGGGCGGCCGCAGGGAATACTACCGCGCCTCTCTAGGCGGATCCAGCCAGGACTATCGGGAGCATCCGCTGGGAACGCCGTCGCGCGTCTCCATCCACAGCGGGCAGATTAACTATCCCGATGGAGACTGGGGATACGGAGTGGGACTGAGAGACGACTACGACAAGAGGCCCAAGTCCTCGTACATCAGTCAGACGAGCCCCCAGCCGGCCATCCGGCAGCGCTCGCGCTCGGGGTCGGGCCTGCAGGAGCCCAGCCTGCCGTATGGCATCACTGCATTTAAAGCTGCGCCGCAGGGGCCGTACAGCTCGTACACGTACCCCAGACTGTCCGAGAACACGTCTTCGCTCATCATGGGCAAGGTAAAGATCAAATCGGCCTCCTACTAATGATGGGTTTGGCTTTTATTGCCCTGCAGGGGCATCATGTCAAAATACGCCAGTGCATTAGGGATGCATTCACACTATTGATTTGTGTGATTCTCTGGCTCAGTCAATGCAAGATAAATCCAGACTTGCCAAAGTGAACCGCTACTGATGATGTGACATTTGCATGTGATGGTCAAATGCAGTTTGTCTGCTCAGAGATCATTGCATGGCAGATTTTGGATTAAAAGGCTCTGTGGAGATCCATTGTTTTGCTCAAACAGCTTGTGGCAGTAAAAATGCGCAATAAAAATTAAGTGATAGTTCACCCAAAAATGAAAATTCAGTCATTAATTACTCACCCTCATGTCGTTCCAAACCCGTAAGACCTTTGTTCATCTTCAGAATATTTTTGGTGAAATCTGAGAGCTCTCTGACCCTCCATAGACAGCAATGCAACTGAAATGTTCCAAGACACAGAAACGTATCAAGGACATCGGTAAAACAGTCCATGTGACATCAATGGTTCAACCGTAGTTTTACGAAGCTACAAGAATACTTTTTGTGTGCAAAGAAAACAAAAATGATGAGTTTATTCACGTATAAAATCATGTATTCTGCCATTATGGAGAGTACCACAGCGCATGCGTTGTTTACATGCAGAGGTATAATGGCAGAAGACCTGATTTGGTGGAGAAGAACTGTTTAATAAAGTCATTATTTTTATTGTTGAATAAAGTCATTATTTTCTTTGCGCACAAAAAGTATTCTCGTAGCTTGGTAAAATTACGGTTGGACATGGACTGTTTTACCGATGTCCTTACTACGTTTCTGGGCCTGGGAACATTTCAGTTGCATTGCTGTCTATGCAGGGTCAGAAAGCTCTCGGATTTCATAAAAAATAACTTAATTTGTGTTCCCGAAGGTCTTACGGGTTTGGAACGACATGAGGGAGAGTAATTAATGACAGAATTTTCATTTTGAGTGAACTATCACTTTAACATCATTAAGGAGTGCTGCATTTACATGCATGCATTTGGCAGATGATTTTATATTGCATTTCATGCACTTTCCGCATTAGAAGAGTATTAGGCCACTTCCTCAATAACTCCTCAATATATTGCAACATAAATTTACATCTGCAGAATCTCCACATCATTAAACTCAGTGCAGTATGATTTTTTAAGATCTGATTTCATGCATTTGGCAAATACTTTTACCTTTCATTTCATCTGCTTTGCGCATTGGAAGTGTATTAGGCCACCGAATAACTCCTCAATATATTACGTCATAAATTTACACCCCCTGAATCTGAAAGATGCATTAAAAAAAGGCATGTTGTTTTGTATTTAGTCCTACTATCACCATCATCATGAAGAATTTTTTAAAGCATAATTTTACCCCCCCAAAAAACCTTTGTCCTCTCTGAATAACATTTTATTTTAAAACAGCATGAATTCAGTTCATCCAGTGTGTTTTTAAAGATCTAATCTGATGCATTTGACAGGTGTTTTTACATTGCATTAAGGCTCAGTTCATGCACCTCCCGTTCCTGTACAAATGCCGCATTGTTCACAATGGAAGCATCCAGCTGTGTTGAGTTAAAGGCTGCAGATACACTGTCCGCTCCTCACCCGCAGGCCTTGTAGGGCGTATTATCTCGCAGGTCGCACCACTGCTCCGCAGCACCGGCTCCGTGATGGATCTGGTGTCAGTTCTTAATCTACTCACCCATGAAAAGAGTGCGGCGGCCGGAGACACAGAATTACTCATGAGAGCGGCGCAGGAATCAATTAACGGAAGCGTAGCATCTCCCCGATAACAGCGGCTCATCGCAGACCTTCATTTACACACGCTTGAGCTCTGAACTGTGATGCGTGCTTGTCAATTCAATTCACAGATATTTTAGGACTACTGTAAGACATCCGTGCGCATCAGAAGTGTATAAGGCCGCTTCCTTGATAACTCCTCAATATATTGCAACATAGATTTACATCAGGGTTATTATAGTTTACTAAAACTAAAATTAAAACTAAAATAAAAAAATAAACATATTGTTATTTGAAACAAGCATAAGTAAACATTATTGAAAATAAACATTATCTGAAATAAAATAAAATAGTTATTTGAAACAAACATAAGTAAACATTATCGAAAATAACCATCATCTGAAATAAAATTTAAAAACTATTTTTATGTCAGCTAGTTACCTGGCAACATTTCTCAAAAATTCACAAACATACACAACAAAATTACTAAAACTTTTGCGAAAATTAACATGAAAACAGAAAATAAAAAATGAGATAGTTAATTATACAAACACTGGTTAATAAAAACTATAATAGTATCCCAATGATAGTAAAATAACTTCTCATGAAGAATCAGAAGAAACAATAAATTATTTTTTTCCAAAAACACCTTTTATTCTAAAACAGATCCATGGTTTTATTTAAATAAATTGTGGCAGCAAAAGTGCATAATAAATATTCAATATTCAATATTAAAAATAAATATTCAACATCAAGGAGTGCTGCATTTACATGGCAGGCAGATGCTTTTACACTGTCCGCATTATAAATGCATTAGGCCACTGAATAACTCCTTGATAGACAGCAACATAAATTTATACCCCCTGCAAAATTTGCAAGATGCGTTAAAAAACTGAATATTGTTAATATTTTCATCCCCCAAACCTTTGTCTGGTCTGAACAACATTTTATTTTTAAAACGGCATAAATTAAATTTAGGGTAGGGCTGCATAATAAATCGAAATGAAATCGAAATCGCGATTAGACAGAAGCTGTGATTGTCATGAGTATCTTTCAGTGAAGCACGGTTCTGTGAACAGTAGTAAATCTCCATTCGAAGGCCAGCGGGCGCTCTCGCGCGGAAACTCCAAATATGCCCCGCAGAAGAAACCGTCTCAGGTTACGTATGTAACCATGGTTCCCTGAGAAAGGAACGAGACACTGCATCCTCAAGAGGTCGCTGTGGGGAACGCCTTCAGCATGACCGGTGTCTGAAGCATACATCTAAACACGACAATAACATTGGTCAGCGACAGCCTGGGATGTCATCACCCGGCGCGACCACAGTACAAAAGTGCGACGGGAGAACACGTCATCCGCTTCTTCGTCTGAAGCTTACGTCCGAAGCATGGCAAGGGACCTAGAGGACGCAGTGTCTTGTTCCCTTCTCAGGGAACCATGGTTACATACGTAACCTGAGA